AATAATATCGGGAATAGCATCAAACTTTAGAATAAGTTTAGATTTGTTCGAATTGACCACCTTTGGCACGAATTATGGCCTTCAAACGGCCAATGAAACCGTCACACGCTGCCCAATGTTGCTTGCCGGTATTTTGACCCATTCCCGGCGAAGCGCTTGCTTGAGGTGATCGACACTTTGGCATTTTTTAGTGCCAACATTGCTTTCCAAAATACTCCAGACACAATAGTCCAACGGATTAGTATCCGGAGATTTTGTTGGCCATTATGCTCTGGAAATGAAGCGAGAAACCTCATTTTGTTACCATTCTTGGGTGGCGCGTGCTTGAGTGCGAGTTCTGTTGGAATGTCCAAGGTCTGCGGCCAAAATGTTTGCGTGCCCAAGGCTTTAATACATTCTTCAGAATATTTTCGATATAATATTCGGCATTTATTCCGATGCAATGGTCGAGTGGATACGAGCTGAGAGCGACAATCGGCTGTTATGGCGGCCCATGAAGCAACTCTCTAGCTCTTTTGAGTCTATTTTCTTTTTGTTGCGTTGTAAGTTCTTGAACTTTTTTCGAATTTCAATGGCTTTACCCCGAGCTAGTCGCCGTTGTTACGTTACAACATCATTATGAAGTTGTTGTGTTTAAACAATTCATTAAAACGGCAAGAAATCGTAGTCCAATAAAGAAATAAAACAATGTACTGGGAGGCTTTTCCACGGGTTGATGGGTCAATAGACTTTTGTTGTTATTAAATGTTTACGCGTGCCCATGTGTGAAACAATTTTGCCATGGACGAAAGGGGGGTTTCAAAGGCCTCCATAATTTTGTATAAAAAAACTGACTTTTAGAAGGTCATGTAGGGATGAAAGACTTTTTATTGGTTTTCTAAGAAGATAGCTTCCCTAGTGTGAACATTTTTGGCAAATAAGCGACCAAAGTAAAGTAGTCGCAAATTCGTACCGATATCAACAATGAGGTCAACCCTTATTCAGATTTTTCATTCATAATTTTGCGTTTTAATTTTACAGATATTTGTCGGTAACTCAAAAAATAGTTTGAGAATCCCACTACTGATTTCATTTATCCAAAAAAAGGGTTGATAGTTTGAAGATATAAACCTTAAGTTCGATTCAGCAAATTGGTATGTAATTTACCATAAATAAGAGGCAGAATGGATGACAGAATAACTCAGACTTCATTATCTAATTGAATTAAAAACAAGTAAAATTGTATCAGTCGGGTTTTCCGACAGATGTATACACCCAGCTTTGAGTTATGATTATTCAAACTGTTTACCCTTTATAGGTGAGGTTCCGAAGCAGTTGGCCAATATTGTCCAACACGTATCTGACCTAAGACGGATATAAATATTACAACGTGCTAGGTTGGGACTATATCGACTACTTCCTATACTTTACATGAGATATGTGCAAAATTTTGGAAAGTGTCGAAATATGCGTGAGGTAACAGATATATAGCGGACCGAAGTATTTAATTTTCATATTTCATCTAATGCAGGTAAAAATATTGGTATGTTCAAAATTTGAAAAAATTCGAACATTTATATCCAATTTTATGCGAAAACATAAATTTCGATACATTAAATATTCATATCAGATTTCTGGTTAAGAGACATATTTAGATAAAGCAAGTTGTAAAGAATTGGGGACTTATTATGGAAGTTATGACAGAAATAAGTATTGGAAATTGTGACCCTTTGAGGGGGAGGTACCAGAAGGGGTTCGCAGTTATATATCACTTTCATTATAGATCTTGTGTTAGCAAAAATGTTTGCATGTATAGAATTTGAAGAGAGTTGGATGCTTATTTCGCTTCCTTTGAGCGTTTTGTTTTTTAAAATCTTGAACCCTATGTGGGGGAAGTACCAGAAGAAATGGTCCGATCTTAACCATCTTTATTACAGACCTTGTGTTAATAGAAATATTGAGATGTGCCAAGTCTGAATGGAATCGGATGTTAATTTCCCACTTTTTCCTTCTAGAGGTATCAGAAGGGGTGGAACTATAAATCCCATCTTCACTCCAGACCTTGGGTTTATAAAAACATTGTGATGTGTGTAATTTGAAGATAGCCGGATGCTTGTTTCCTTTTTTATGATGGCTTTTGTTATTTACAACTTTAACCATTTGTGGGGGAGGTAAGGGTAGAATTGGTCCGATCTCTACCATACAGGGTGAGATGAAAAAACTGCAACCAAGTTCAGAAAACAGCAACATCAGAAGAAATGGTTCGAAAAGTAAAGAAGCGACTTGATCGCAACCCGCGTCGCAGTGGCCGAAAAATGGCTCGTGCGTTAAACATATCGGAATATTCAATTCGGAAAATATTGAAAAATGAGCTCGAGGGTAAGCCATTGAAATTCCAAAAAGTGCAAGAACTTACACCGCAACAGAAAGAAAATAAACTCAAAAGAGCTAAAGAGTTGCTTCGCTTGGCCGAAAGTGGTGAACTGCCGAATTTGGTTTTCTCCGATGAGAAAACATTCGTTATCCAGCAGTTTGTAAACAAACAAAATGATCGCGTTTACTTGCCAAAGAGATCAGCTGAAAATGTGCACCTTCTGTTGGCCACCAGTCAGCAGAACTCAAGCGCCGGCCATGGTGATAGTGTGGGACGCCATTACAGCGGATGGTCGCTCTCCGCTCGTATTACTCGATCGTGACATCAGAATAAATGCCGAATATTATCGCGAACATATTCTGGAGGATGTATTAAAGCCTTGAGCACGCAAATATTTTGGCCGCAGACCTTGGACATTCCAACAGGACTCCGCACTATCGCACTCAGCACGTGCCACCCAAAAATGGTTACAAAATGAAGTTTTTCGCTTCATTTCCAGCGCACAGCACAATGGCCACCAAAATCTCCGGATACCAATCCGTTGGACTATTGTGTCTGGAGTATTTTGGAAAGCAAGGTTGGCACTAAAAAAATACCAAAGTGTCGATCAACTCAAGCAAGCGCTTCGCCGGAAATGGGCCAAAATACCGCAGAGCAACATTCGGGCAGCGTGTGACGATTTCATTGTCCGTTTGAAGTCCATAATTCTTGTCAAAGGTGACCAATTCGAACAAAACTAAACTTATTATACAATTTGATGCTATTTCCGACATGTAGATAAACTCGGCAGATACTTCTATTTATTAAAGTCCTTTGTTTGGAAGAATTATCTGGAACTTTTTGTGTATAAAGGGACTATAGAAGGATTTATGTATATAGAGGACCTCTGCAGACTTTTCTACGACTTTTCTGTTGGTTTTTCTATTTAAAGAAATCCTGTGAAGAGATCCTGTCTGCAAAAGTCATCTTGAGGGTCATCTTAATATCAGCAAGTAAAAAAGCTGTAAGTTTGGCCGGGCCGAACTTTGAAACGAATTTGGCAATTTTCAACAATAAAATTAAATCCGTTAAAAATTCTGTTAAAATCTTAAAAATACCGAATGTAGCCGAAATATTAGGGTCTATATGATGACGTCGACCTGCATAGACATCTTTTGTCATAAGCCATTACAATATTCAATTGCAAAACTTGAAAAAAATCGGTGAATAATGTATAAACGTGGACCTGCACAGATAATTTTCTGTCATAGGCTGCAGTATCCATTGCGAACTTCAAATACCAAATTTGAAACAATTATGGTAAATAATGTCGGTAATATCATCAAAATACCGAATATTGGGAGGTACCGTTATATCGGAGCTGTGTGAAGACCTGGACCAGCATAGACAATTTTCTGTCACAGGCTGTGGCATCGATTACGAACTTCAAATACGACATCTCAAACAATTTCGGTGGGTATTGTACCTAAACTCGTCAAAATACCGAATATAGGGATGTACTGATATATGCGGCCTATACGAAGACCTGGACCTGCACAGACAATTTTCTGTCATAGGCTGTAGTATCCATTACGACCTTCACGTACCAAATTTGAAACGTTTCCGGTGAATAATGTCGCTTAAATGCCCAAAATACCGAATATCAGGAGGTACTGTCATATGAGGGCTCTACGAAGACGTCGACCTGCACAGACAATTTTCTGTCATAAATTGTAGTATCCATTACGAACTTCAAATACCAAATTTGAAACATTTCCTGTGAATAATGTCGCTAAAATCATCAAAATATCGAATATCGGGAGGTACCGTTATATCGATGCTATACGAAGACGTGGAACTGCACAGACAATTTTCTGTCATAGGCTCTAGCATCCATTACGAACATCAAATACCAAATTTGAAATAATTCTGGTAAATAATTTCGCAAAAAGCATCAAAATACCGAATATCGGAAGGTACCATTATATGGGGACTATACCAAAACGTGGACCTACATGGCCCATTTTCAATACCGAAAGTCCAGCTGACATAATATATATGTGAGTAAAATTTTATCAACTTAATTCATTTCGTTCGAAAGTTAGAGTGATTTACACAGACGGATAGTGGGACAGTCATCGCAAAATCGACATAGAATTTTATGCGGATCAAGAATATATATATACTTTTTGGGGTCTAAAATGTATATTTCGAGGTGTTACAAACGGAATGACAAACTTATTATACCCTCCATACTATGGTGAAGGGTATATAAATCTCTCAAAGGTTTAGGATCTACCTCAAGAAGTTCTTCTTGCTACAGGCAACCTCTACATGATTTCCATCCATTAAAAACCCCCAACAATGGGACAACCTACCCTCGTAATTTCTTTTTTAGTATTTTTTTTTTTTTCACTTCTCCCTAAATAAAGCCATTTTATGTTTTTTTTTTTCTTTGCCAGATGTACGAGGAGGAGCTACAGGCATTTATAACCTACTTCGTTTTTGTTGTTTTATCTTCTGTTTTCCAGTTAATCACGAGTTTTATGGCCAGCGATATTTCAACAACAATATTGAATTCAATCTAATTTACACATTTGTTTTATAATTTGCAAAACAAAAGATGTTCAAAACAAAACGCTCCAGAAGAGTAGTCGCTTAAATATACCTCCTTCTATTTGTTGTTGTTTTTGTTGGTCATTTATATTTGAGTTATAATTAATAAATATATATTGGCACACTTCACTTTGTTTATTTTGTTGGGTGTTTTTAATTATTTGCAATTATTTCCAATGACGCGAATTGTCGCCCCAAGTCCAAGGTACACACAGAAATGCGATCACAATGTTATCGTTGTTTATCTTTTGGCTTTTCGCAGAATACTAAGCAATTGTCATTTGTTTTTTTTTGCTTTTTAATTGAACAGATGACTGCGATCAGCCGCTTTTGAAAATATATTTTTATTTTTCCCCCCACCCTCAAGAAACCACATCAACAACAAAAACAGCAGAGCGAGGATGCTGGCGATGGATAACTAAATTTAAAAGAATTGTCTGTAATCGATAACAGCGGGCAGTAGGGCAGTATGGTGAGTGAGAAATGTCAAGTAATAGTATTCGGTTAGGAGCTCAAAACTTCGAAAGGAATTTAAAGGTAGTGGTATTCGAAAGTGGAGGTAATGGTATTCAGTTAGTAGCTCCAAACCTCACATGGAATTTTAGTTCCCATGCCATACTATTTTTAGGGTCCATGATATGTATAGTCCCCGATTTGAAGTATTTTTTTTGGGGTCCGGCCATAATTTCCACAAAATCCTCCAAATTTTGGAATTTAGCAAATAACGACCCTAATGCAGGTAATTATTTATATAGGTCCAAATTTTTGTCTAGCCCTGTTTGATCCCATTTTTCTCAATGTTTTTCCAAGAGATCGATGTTTTGGTGTGGCGCCCAAGTAAAGCTGCCTCCAATTAAGTTTTTTTTTTTGGGAAACTTGACCACTTTATTCCACCGATTGGGCTGTGTTCTTTTAATAAATATTGTTATTTTTTTTTAATATGTATAATATATAATAGTTCCGTTCAAATGTGACATAAATATAAGAGTTTCTTAATAACATGTTATTCGTATAACAGTTTCGTCCAATATAAGTTATTCGAACTAACAGTTTATTGTAAAAAATGTTATTCATATGACAGTTTCTTGTAAAAAATCTTTGTTGTATAACAGTTTCTTTCAAATATGACAAAAAAAATTAAAAATTTCCTGAAGAGTATTTAATTCGTATAACAGTATTTTCGTAGGATGGAATTCCCAATTCCATAATTTTTTCTTGAAGAGAAAATTGTCTGTATAACAGTTTCACGTTAAAGACGTTATTTGTATAACAGTTTCTTTAACAAAAATAATCCTTACAATAGTTTATTTTAGTTGTATAACAGTTCAAGGTATCATATGATGCAAATGCCAGCTCATAACCCCCAAACCCATTCAAATTTGGAATACCTTTTATAAAATCGTATTTGTATAACGGTTTCTTTTAATATTGTTAGGAGTATAACAGATTATTTTAACAAATTTAATATAACAGTTTCTTGAAGAAAATGATATTATTTTATAACAGTTTCTTAATGAAATGTCATTCGTATAACAGTATTAACAGTTAATTGCAGAAAATATGACAGTTTCTTATATAAAATCTTTGTTGTATAACAGTTTTCTTAATATGACAAAAATTTAAAAGTTTCTTGAAGAGTATTTAACTCGTATGCAATTCCCAACCCGATAATATTTTCTTAAAGAGAATATTTTCTGTATAACAGTTTCTTTAAAATTGTGTTTTGGTTTCTTAGAGTCGAGTTTTTGGTTTACACACTTTTCAATGCAGTCCATTTTTTTTGGAGTGGCGCCCAATTACAAAGTCAAACGAACGAAATGAAGTAGATTGATAAAATTTTACTCAACGGAATTCAATTCAAATTTGGTATTTGAAGTTTGAAATGGATGATACTACAGCCTATGACAGAAAATTGTCTGTGCAGGTTCACGTCTTCGTATAGCCCCCGTATAACGCTACCTCCCGATATTCGGTATTTTTATGATTTTAGCTACACTATTCATAGGAATTGTTTCAAATTTGGTATTTGGAGGTCGTAATGGATACTAGAGCCTATGACAGAAAATTGTCTGTGCAGGTTCACGTGTTCGTATAGCCCCCATATTACGGTACCTCCCGATATTCGGTATTTTGATGAATTTCGCGACACTATTCACCTGAATTCTTTCAAATTTGGTATTTGAAGTTTGAAATGGATACTACAGCCTATGACAGAAAATTGTCTGTGCTGGTCCATGTCTTCGTATAGCCCCCATATAACGGTGCCTCCCGATATTCGGTATTTTTATGATTTTAGCTACATTAGTCACCGATTTTTTTTTAAGTTTTGCATTTGACTATTGTAATGGCTTATGACAAAAGTTACCTATGCAGGTCCATGTCATCGTATAGACCCTAATGTAACAGCTACATTCGGTATTTTTAAGATTTTAACAGAATTTTTTAAGGATTTTATCGTTTTTGAGACTTGCCAAATTCCTTTCAAATTGGGTATTCAAAGTTCGGCCCGGCCGAACTTACAGCTTTTTTACTTGTTTAAATTTTATTGAATGAAAGCTAAAAATGTCGGAAATAGCATCAAATTTTCGAATAAGTTTAGATTTGTTCGAATTGGGCACCTTTGACACGAATTATCGCCTTCAAACGGCCAATGAAACCGTCACACGCTGCCCGAATGTTGCTCTGCGATATTTTGGCCCATTTCCGGAGAAGCATTTGCTTGAGGTGATCAACACTTTGGTATTTTTTAGTGCCAACCTTGCTTTCAAAAAAATTCCAGGCACAATAGTCTAACGGATTGGTATCCGCAGATTATGGTGGCCATTGTGCGCTGGAAATGAAGCGAGGAACCTCATTTTGTAACCATTCTTGGGTGGCGGGTGCTGAGTGCAATGGTGCTGAGTCCTATTGGAATGTGCGAGGTCTGCGGCCAGAATGTTTGAGTGCACTAGGCTTAATACACCCTCCAGAATATTTTCGCGATAATATTCGGCATTTATTCTGATGCCACGGTCGATTAATACGAACGGAGAGCGACCATCGGCTGTTATGGCGGTCCACACCATCACCATGGCAGGCTTGAGGCTTAAGTTCTGGTGGCCAAACGAAGGTGGACATTTTCAGCTGTCTACAAACTGTTGGACAACGAATGTTTTCTCATCGGAGAAAACCAAATTCGGCAGTTCACCACTTTCGGCCAAGCGAAGCAACTCTTTAGCTCTTTTGAGTCTATTTTCTCTCTGTTGCGGTGCAAGTTCTTGCCCTTTTTGGAATTTCAAGGGCTTTTTCAATATTTGCTGAATGGAAGGAGGAATATTGCGATATGTACAGCTCACGAGCCATTTTTTCGGCCACAGCGACGCGGGTTTTGATTGAGACGCTTCTTTACTTTTCGAACCATTTCTGCTGATGTTGCTGTTTTCTTCCTTCCACTTCCTTGACGTCGGGCTACGCTACCAGTATCAGTATCACGGTAACGAGCGATGGTAGGAGACACAAAAAATTTATTCACATTCAAATGATGGAGTGCTCTTACGATAGCCACTTGTGGTTTTCCAGCCAAATATAAGGAAATCACACTATCACGCTAGAATTCCATCACGAATAACTTTTTTTCTGGAAAATTCTCACCAAAATGCTTTTGTACGCTTGTAAAAAATATAATGAGCTGTCACTGGAATAATTTAATCAGCTGTTGGACGAGTGGCTTTGAAATTACAGCAGTCTGAAGTTTTTCGCTGTTTTTTTTATCTAACCCTGTATAGGTCTAAATTTTGGTCTTTGGTCAGCAGTCTGAAGTTTTTCGCTGTTTTTTTTTATCTAACCCTGTATAGGTCTAAATTTTGGTCTTTCCCTGTTTTTAGCTATTCCCAAGGTCTTGCTCACATTTACCAAAATATTTGGCATAAACTTTTCAATACAAATTCATGTTTTGGTGTGGCGCCCAAATTAGGGCTAGGGCACATAAGCAGCTTGAAGTTTTCGCATGGCATATTTTGTGACATATCATAAAGGGATGCCACAGCCGCACTTGGATCCTGCCATGCTGCTTATGTATCCTCACCTTTAAGTTGCCTCCGATTTGAACTATTCAGAATATATTGGGGATATTATTCAATAGATTTGGGTAAAACATTGTTTTGTTGTAAAAATGTTTAAGGGGAAAATATATTAAACGGTTTTTGAAAGGGTAACCCTATGTATTCCTCGAAAAAGATCAAATCCTCATAAATCTTTTGTTGGGCGCCACTCCAAAACATGGATCAGCAATGAAAAGTATATCTCTAAGAAACCTTTTTGGACTGACTTAAGTCAACGGCTGGCTTCTTCGTAGAGGAACAAAGGGGTTTTGGGTTGACTTAGTTCGATTTTGGTTCCATACTCCTTTGTTAGCCAGCCGGTGATTTAAGCCAGTCAAAAAAGCGTTTTATGTATTCTTACCTTTAGGTTTCTTAGAGATATACTTTTCATAGCTGACCCATCTTTTGGAGTGGCGCCCAATTAAAGATTTATGAAGATTTTATCTTTTTCAAGGATCTGGGCCACATTGTCTGGGTTGGCAATCTCCAAACCCCCTATTACTTTTTGATTCATTTTTTTCGAAATCCCAAAACTCCCATTCAACAACCAAAAATACTGAAAAAACCTCTTCCAGCCACCTGGCCACCGGCCACACGAGCCTAATACTTTCTCATTTAGCGTCGAATGACATGTCTGATTTGGATTGAGTGCTAATCCAAATAATTAACAAATTCTGACGTATGAAGCACGTGAATGGAAATTATGAATTTTGGAGATGATAATGAAGATGGAGCTAGACAATGATGATGTTTGTTACGATGACGATTTTGATAATTATCATGTTGAAGATGAGTATCGGTGATGGTGCGTTACCTTTACGCACCGATGTTGATGCAGGGCATATAAACTTCTAATTTCAAGTTGAGAGTTAGTCTTTAGCGGTCTTTGACGGAAAACACATAACACGGCGGAGAATTTTGAAAATAATTGAGTTTTTTGGAAAATCCAAAATCGTCTTTGCGTTAATTAAAAAGAGTTAACCGAAAAAAACTATAAAAAATGAAAATTGTGTACGTGACTATTTGAATTTTTTTGTAAAATCTTAAAAAAAAGTTGAAAATATGAAATTAGAAAAAAAGCAAACATGTTTTCAAAAATGTGAATTGGAGTTGTAACAAATACATTTTAATGAAACAATCTGCAGATTAAGCTTAGAGTATATTATGTTTGAAACTTACAAATTATGTGAAACGATTAATAGTGATTGAAAAATATCCCCTATCTGCTGAAGTTTTAAGCCCTTAAAAATCGGCTAATTTGTCTAGAAGTATGTTAACCAATACTCAAATAAGTCCACAAATGACCACGGTTCCTTGGAAATGTTGAATAAATGTTTTTTGCGAAAATTAAAATGTTTTAATATTTTTTAATTAGATTCAAAAATAATAAAGAATTTTTGAAAAAAAAAAATTAAAACTAATTTAGAAAATTCAAAAAAAAAAGTAAAAAAGCTTTAAGTTCGGCCAGGCCGAACTTTGAATACCCTCCACCATATGGTACAAATTTGGCAATTTTCAAAAAAAAAATAAATAAAATAAAATCCGTTAAAATTTCTGTTACAATCTATAAATACCGAATGTAGACGTATATTAGGGTCTATACGACGAGGTGGCCCTGGCATAGGCAACTTTTGTCACAAGCTATTACAATATTCAAAGGCGAAACATGAAAAAATCTGTTTATAATGTAGCTAAAATCATCATAATACCGAATATAGGGTGGTACCATGAGGGCTAAAAAAACGTGGACCTGCACAGACAATTTTCTAGCATAGGCTGTAGTATCCATTACGAACATCAAATATAAAATGTGAAATAATTCCAGTAAATAATGTCGCTTAAATCTTCATAATACTGAATATCGGGAGGTACCGTTATATGGGGGTTATATGAAGACGGGGCCTGCACAGATAATTTTTTGTCTTAGACTGTAGTATCCGTTACGAACTTCAAATACAAAATTTGAAACAATTCCCGTGAATAATGTCGCTAAAATCATCAAAAATACCGCATATCGGGAGGTACCGTTGTATGGGGGCTTTACGAAAATGTGAACCTACAGAAGGACAGACGGACATCGACATTGAATTTTATGCTGATCATTTTATGTGGGGTCTAAAATGTATATTTCGAGGTGTTACAAACGGAATAACAAACTTCATATACCCTCCATACTATGGTGGAGGGTATAAAAACATAAAGACCCGACTAATAACTTCCAAGAGCACCCTAGAGAGTTCGTCTGAATGATTTCAAATAAATCGAAGTTCTCGATCCTTAGGTCGAAATCGGAATCTTGTGGTAACGTTTAACACCTGTCAAAATTGTACAACATTGTACTATCTGATGGGCAGTTTTTAGGAGCACGAAAACCACAAGTTTAAAGTTGTACTATATTGGTTCATTACTCTTCTGGAACATAGTTCACAAAGAATCAAATTAACTAAAAAAAAATCTACAAATAGCTAATTTTACCCTCAGCCATATGGCTACAGAGGTTACATATAATTTTATATGGACAAAACGTGCCCTAGGTCTCTATGGACCAAATCCGTTACAGGACATTTTGAGTCGATCTAGCGATCCGTCCGTCCGTCTGTCTAGCTGGTGCGCATGATAACTCTCGAAGATCCGATTATTATCAAACATAAATCGAGTTCAGAAATTTGCAATCAATCCACTCCCCCTGGTACATCCCCCACAAAAGGTAAAAATTTTCAAAAAAAATATTTTACTGCACAGAAAGGTAAAGGATAATCCGATTTTGCCCCAGGGATAATATCGGTCCATTTCATCAAGTACCTCTCGCTCAAAGGTTTAACATTTCAAATAATTATAACTTTTAACAAATGTGATGTTAGAGTCCGATTGTCTTCAATTAACACAAATCACAATTCCGTCGGAACCTACTCCATAGAGGATCAATAGTTTGAAAATTCACAACAAAAGTCAAAATAAATTTGAATAATCAAAATTGGCTGAGGCCAAACTGACTTATACTTCTTAACCTGTTTTACAATATAATTTCGGTCAGGCGAGCTTTTCCTCTCCGTCATTAAAATCTATACTCAAAACACCATTTTATAGTATATTTATTTCAAACAAATAGCTAGGACCTTCAGAATATAAATAGCTGGAGTCTAGCATTCAAAAATAAATACTTCAAAACGTCAAATTTTAGCCACTTCGGTTAGAAAATGTAGATCGGTCTGTAAAAACGCCCAAATTCAGAACTGGGGATACTTTTAGACTTTCCGAGATTTGAATTAAAGAAAAAAGTCAGCTTTTCAGTCAGAAGACTAGTAAAAATCTATGATGGAGATCATGGCAGATTTATTACAAAAAGTCGACATTGCCACAGGCACAAGATGACTTTAAGACTTTTCAATACAGAAATTTGAACAATCGGTTAATCGAAAGTCGACTTACGTATCCCTAATCCAAATGAGACCCAAAAGAAACGTGGTTGACAATCATACCAATCAAGGTAGATTTAACAGGTAATCGGATCTGCGAATTGCTACAACAAAGCAACTTTTGTGGTACCCTCAAATGTCAAAATTGGCATCTAAGGCGAAAAACATACATTCGCCAAGGTAGATGTACTAGGTAATCGCATCAGCCCAGCTGACGGCACCATTAAATGTCAAAACAAATTGTTGAAGAATTCGCCCTGAATGAATGCAACAACAAATTTGTTTATGTTGTCTTCTCTAAAAAATTTCAAATAATTTAAGAGCAAGTTTAGAGTGAAACCAGTAAAAAAATTAAAAGAAAATGAAGGAAGGAGGCTAGAATGGAGGGCAGCTTTAAGAATTAAGTTAGCCTCAACATCTAAGATTCCCAAAGCACATCACTGGAAGTAGTGCAAGAATTCGACTCTTGGTTTAAACCAGTAAAATATAGTCATTATAAGTTTCTTGGTTTAAAAAATATCGCAATGCTACAATTAATACTTATTTTACTCTTATTTGTTTTACAATAAAAACTTTTATTGCGACGTTCGTTTACGACGAGAGGCACACAAAATAAAATGTAAACAAACACCTCGTTTCTGATTTGTTGAAACAAATTTGCCGCAACCTTTAAATGTCATGGCGAATCTATGTTTTTCGCCTTAGATGCCAATTTTGACATTTGAGGGGACCACAAAAGTTGCTTTGTTGTAGCAATTCGCCGATGCGGTTACCTGTTAGATCTACCTTGGCCATGACATTTAAAGTTAGCGGCAAATTTGTTTCAACCAATCAGAAACGAGTTGTTTGTTTACATTTTATGTTGGATGTGGAAATTAAGCCAACGACTCTCGGGAACCATTGCAACAGCCCCAAGTTGATAGTTAGCCCCCGAAAAGTTTATACACACAACTGTAATATCTTCTATGTCACCGACAAATACCATTTATATTCCAGCCAATGTTGATAACCGGAGGTTACACCGACTCCAGTACATGACACAAGAGTAGCAAGTGTTCCCGATCAAATGGTCTTAAAGAAAGAACATATCACCAATATCGCCACCAGTAAAAGCCCTTTAAGAATGCCCAGCAATCAAACTTGTAGCAACTTGGTGGATAAAAAACCTCTCTTGATAGCAGAGCCGATGCAAATTCCCCAAACCATACAAAGAGTTTTCACATACCACAAAAGGCTGATGGAGCTGCGGCTAGTGGAAGTTTGGATAAGGCCAACCGAGTCATAGCTCTCGTGAAAAGTTGGAGCAGCAAAATAAAATGACTATACAACATGCATGGACCCATAAAATGCTGCAAGCCTTCGTGGCAGCGATTTGGATGCCATCAAAGATTTACTAAATGAAGGAACAGCTCCAAGCCATGGACAATTCTCACGTTTCATTGGTTTCCCTAACATTGCGGTCGGATGGCTTCGACTAATTCAAATTTTAATTTTTTTACTTGTAATTCACTCTAAAGTTGCTTTTAAATTTTGAAATATTTGAAAAATATACTTTTAGTGAAGACGACATAAACAAACTTTGTTTTTGTATTGCATTTATTTAGAGCGAATTCAGCAAATTTGACATTTAAAGGTGCCGTCAGCTGCGAATAAAAGTGACAGCATATATCTAAAACCCAATCCGTCTGATAATGCTTTTACGCGAAACCATGGTAGAAAAATACAGGTAGATGCATCAACGCTTAGGAGCATTGATATGTCAAAAATTTTGAAATTTATTTTCAAATAAAAATAGATTTTTATATGTTTTCTTATACGACGTCATTCGGGGGTTATTATAATATGACTTTTTCGACAATTTTTACAAATTTTAATAATTTTTCATTTAACATTTTCAATTCCAAAATTGGTTTGACAGTTCATTGTCTCAGCAGCTGCGTCGATGCGTCTACCTATATTCTTCTACCATGCGCGAAACATAAAAACGAAGCAACAGTGTGGCATTTTTTTCACGCCGACGTCAAACGAAACGTTGGTTCATAAGGTCTGTCCACGGTAAAAGAATAGAGGTAGATGTATCATCGCTTGGGAACATTGGTATGTCAAAAATTTTCAAGTGTGTTTTTTAAAAATAAGTGGATTTTTATATGTTTTCCTATACGACGCCGATTGGAGGTTGTTATCATATGCATTTTTCAACAATTTTTACAAATTTCAATAATTTTCCATTCTATATTCCTAACTCTAAAATTATTTTGACAATTCATTGTCCCAGCTGATATGTTTACGCGACCACCTATATTCTTTTTCCATGGTACATACCATGGTAGAAGAATATAGGTAGACGCATCGACACAGCTGCTGAGACAATGAACTGTCAAACCAATTTTGAAATTGAAAATGTTGAATAAAAAATTATTTAAATTTGTAAAAATTGTTGAAAAATACGAATTAAAATAACCTCCGAATGACGTCGTATAGGAAAAAATATAATAATCTACTTATATTTAAAAAAAACATTTAAATTTTTTTTGACATATCAATGCTCCCAAGCGTTGATGCATCTACCTGAACGCACTTTTTCGATCACAGCGAGCCCTACTTTCATCGGAAAAATAGAATTTAATCAAAAGAAAATAGAATCAAAAACAAAAAATATATAAAAATAAATTTACGGGAAAAATGTATTCATTAATTTTTTTAAACATAAAACATAATCATTATGTAACCAAAGAAATGAAAAAAAAAAAAACATATGCAAGTGTGTGATGGCAAGAATTATAAGTCATATGTAAACTGGCAATTTTGACATACACACAGAGATACAAATGGATAATAAAAGTGACAGCGCATATGTAAAACACATTCCGTCTGAAAATGCTTTTACGCGAAACGTGAAATCGCGGCAAGAGTGCTGCATTTTATTTTGGAAATTACAAAGGGGTTTTAGGTTGACTTAGTTCAATTTCAGTCCATAATTTATATTTGCTCTTATACGCTCCTTTGTTCTTTACGGAAAAGGCAGCCGATGACTTAGGCCAGTAAAAAACTTTCTATGTATTCTCACCTTAACAACTACATTCCTATTGAGAAGTTAATAATGAAAACATTTATTTTTTTTTGTTTTTACAGATTCTTATATCTTTTCTATATGGTGATATCGCCCATAGATATTCTCGGCTTTGAATCAAATGACTTTCCGACACCGACACATAATTTGACACATTGGCGGGAACATCGGCGTAAAAAGAGATATTTAATATTTGCAACATCGGGAATGGCAAAGGTAGGTAGAGTTTTTCGAAATAGTTAATGGATTCGTTAATTTTATAAAAATGTTAAAGGTGGAGGGACAATTCATATGCCATGCTAAAATGTCTAAAGGTGAGAACACACAAAACGTTTTTTTTGACTGGCTCAAGTCATCGGCGGGCTTCTTCGTAAAAGATTTATCTTAATTTCAATCCTACGCTCCTTTGTTCTTTTACGAGGAAGCCAGTCGATGAATTAAGCCAGTCAAAAAAGCGTTTTCTGTATTCTCACCTTAAGTTTTGGCATTTCAAATGGTTTATATTCTTAGGCACAGAAGAGGATTATTTCTAAAATAAGACAACAGATTTATGTTAATATAAAGGAATAAGGGGAATTTAGCCTCAGCACTTGTGTACGGTGATAAAACAAAAATATTCTGGAAAATGAATTGATTTGTAAATCTTTTTTTTCAACAAATTTAGCTGATTTAAATAATTTTTCATTCAAAAAATTGAATTCCAAACATATTTTGACGGTTCATTAAACCACCAGCTGTGTTGATGCCGCTACCTTTTGCCATGTATTTCAGTGTTTAATTCGACCTAGTTTACCCTATTTTTTATTTAACTCATACCATGTTCTTATTTATTTTTTATGTAACTCATACCATGTTCATAGTACACTTATAACATTTTTTAATCGGATTTCAAATATTATGAAACGCTAAAACCCCGATTAAAGCAGTTTCAAAAACAAAAAAAAAAAAATATAATAAATAAATACAAATAAAAAAATAAATAAAAAATTATTCCATTTCTTACCTCTCGTATTGACGGAGAAAAACATCTCCATGTTTTTAATTCTTAATCGTTATTTTGCACTTTTTCAGGTCGTCACCGGTGTAACTTACCCTGTCGATTTATCAGATAAACGCCCTTGGCGCCAATTGGTTATGTTATATAATTTCCATTACCAATATGGTTTGCCAACCAAACCCATCTATTGGTGGGACAAATGGGATAAAAGAAATTTAAATGGCAATGTGGGCGGATTGTTTGGACCCACTGATCCCTCGGCGGAGGCTTATCAAACAGACGATGCTCAATTATTTCTCTACACCTTTGCTGAGAACCTTATGAGTCGTCATGGCGAAGATGGTCGTGAATGTTTGCTAAAGGCCATCTGTGAAAATGCCCAAATCGATGTGCACCAGGGCATGTATGCGGAGTTGTTGCATCGATTTTTGAGGTAAGAAATTACGAAAGGGGAATATTTAATAGAAATAAAAATCTTCTGTGGGTCTCCTAAAAATATAAAATCGTCTAGAGCCTATGTATATAAGATCATCTAACTTCTCTTCAGCCTTTGACGAATTTATTTTCTCCAAATATTGATAGCAACCGAAAAATTCTGAAATTTTCACATAATAATACTTTTATCCAAATTTTTTAGACCCCATCGAAATTTGGATTCCTATTATGTGAATGCATGGCATATGGGCCTGGAAGGTGTCGACTGTCAATATCATTTTCCAAAAGCCACGAATTGCCTGCTGGATCAATATACCCATGTGCGAGAGGAGTATATGGGTTATACCACAGTAAAATAATGTACCTGTCCTTAAAGCCTATTAATAAAAGTATCTATAAAAGACTGTTTGTTTATAATAAAATTATTAAATATTTAGGAAAATATTTATATACATATAGAAAATTAAATTTAAATAAAAAAAAATAAAATTGTCGAAGAATATGAAATCAAGTACTTATTTCACAAAACATGCACGCAAATACAGGATGAGGTAAAAAAACTGCAACAAAGTCAAACGCCATAATTTGTACTTTTTTCAATTTTATTGAATAAAACCAATAAAAGTCGGAAATAGCATCAAAGTTTAGAATAAGTTTAGATTTGTTCGAATTGGTCACCTTTGGTACGAATTATGGCCTTCAAACGGCCAATGAAACCGTCACACGCTGCCCGAATGTTGCTCTGCGGTATTTTGGCCCATTCCCGGTGAAGCACTTGCTTGAGGTGATCGACACTTTGGTATATTTTAGTGCCAACCTTGGTTTCCAAAATACTCCAACGAATTCGTATCCTGAGATTTTGGTATTCATTGTGCGCTGAAATTAAGGTCAGGTGAAAAATGGATAATATCAGTCCATTCCATCCCACAAAGGGTCAAAATTTTGATTAATTTAACTCTTATAAAATATGATGTAAGAGTCCGATTGCCTTCATATTTCGCACATCCTAATATTTTTATCCACCCACGGTCTGGTACCTCCCCCACAAAGGATCAAAATTTTGAACATTTATGAAGATCATAGAACACGAAATTAACATCCGATTTCATTCAGACTTGGCACATCTCAGTATTTCCATCAACACAAGATCTGTTAAAAAGATGGTAAAGATCGGACATTTCCTTCTGGTACCTCCCACACAATGAGTCAACGTTTTGAATAACCAAAACGATTATAAAATCCGAAATGAGCATCCGATTCGCTTCATATCACAATATTTCTATTAACCCAAAGTCTGTTGTGAAAATGGGATATATTGGTCCACTCCTTCAGGTACCTACCCCACAATGAGTCAAAATTGTGAATATCCATGAATCTCATTAAACGCGAAATTAAGATCCGATTCCATTCAGACTTGGCACATCTCAATATTTCTATCAACAAAAGATCTGTTATAAAGATGGTAGAGATCCGACCATTTCTTCTGGTACCTCCCCAACATAGGGTTCAAGATTTTTGAGAAACAAAACGCTCAAAGAAAGCGAAATAAACATCCAAATCTCTTCAAATTTCACACACACACAAACATTTTTGCTAACACAAGATCTTTTGTGAAGGTGATACATATCTGCGAACCTCTTCTGATACCTCATCCACAAAGGGTCACAATTTTGCAATACTTTAATCTGTCACAAATCGCTATCTATTTCGCCCGTGCCATTAGAACGTTAATCGTCCATTCTATTACAGTTAAAACACGGTTTTTGTTATCGACTGAAAGTACTGTACAAACAAATGTGTATGATATTTTAATTTCTCTGATACACCCTGTACAGGGTGATTCATATATTTTCTTTTAAATTTTTCTGCATTCATTAATTGAAGCATACTTTGGGGCGTTAATAATGAACACGGCAGCCATAATTACTCCATAAAATATTTGAAATGAAATTCTCTACTAAAATTGATAAATGACGTTTTTAAATTAAAAACAAATAAAAAAAAAAAAAAAACAAAATAAAATTACAGCGTACATTAAGCACCCACACAAGATGACACATTATTTGGCTGGAAAACAACAAGTGGCTATCGTTAGAGCACTCCAGCATTTAGATGTGAATAAATCTTTTGTGTCTCGTACCATCGCTTGTTACCGAGATACTGATACTGGTAGGGTAGCCCGACGTCAAGGAAGTGGACGGAAGAAAACAGCAACATCTGCAGAAATGGTTCGAAAAGTAAAGAAGCGATTTAATCGAAACCCCTTTCGCAGTGGCCAACAAATGGCCTAACATATCGCAATATTCCTCCTTCCATTCGGCAAATATTGAAAAATGAGCTCAGGGTAAAGCCATTGAAATTCCAAAAATTGCAAGAACAACAGAAAGAAAATAGACTCAAAAGAGCTAAAGAGTTGTTTCGCTTGGCCGAAAGTGGTGAACTGCCGAATTTGGTTTTCTCCGATGAGAAAATATTCGTTGTCCTGTAGTTCGTAAACAAAAAAATGATCGCGTTTACTTGCCAAAGAAGTCAGCTGAAAATTTGCGCCTTCGGTTGGCCACCAGAACTCAAGCGCGGGCCATGGTGATGGTGTGGACCGCCATAACAGCCGATGGTCGCTCTCCGCTCGTATTAATCGACGACCGTGGCATCAGAATAAATGCTTAATATTATCACGAACATATTCTGAAGGGTGTATTAAAGCCTTGGGCACGCAAACATTTTGGCCGCAGACCTTAGACATTCCAACAGGACTCAGCACGCCCCACACAAGAATGTTTACAAAATGAGGTTCCTCGCTTCATTTCCAGCGCACAATGGAGACCAAAATCTCCGGATACCAATCCGTTGAACTATTGTGTCTGGAGTATTTTGGAAAGCAAGGTTGGCACTAAAAAATACCAAAGTGTCGATCACCTCAAGCAAGCGCTTCGCCGGGAATGCGCCAAAATACCGCAGAGCAACATTCGGGCAGCGTGTGACGGTTTCATTGGCCGTTTGAAGACCATAATCCGTGCCAAAGGTGACCAATTCGAACAAATCTAAACTTATTCTAAAATTTGATGATATTTCCGACATTTTTTGCTTTCATTCAATAAAATTTAAAAAAAAAATGTAAAAGTTATGGCGTTTGACTTTGTTGCGGTTTTTTTATCTCACCCTATGGATATTAAAATTGACCAAAAAAGCCCTAACCCATGGTACAATGAAATAAAGGTAACCTCATTTCAAATAAGTTTTCGCAGCTCTGCATTTTCTGTAATTTACCTTGTCAGATTTCAATGCATAAAAAAGAGTTCCCATCTCTGATTTTGATTTATGGATTTTAACAATGAGATGTTGCCAAATGTGTAAATTTGAAAAAATTGTAAACATATGATTACATGACTTTACCTTCTTAGTTCTACGATGCCCTAACCTTAAAATAAAAGACTATTCTTGTTCCATAATAATTCTGCTAACTATATTTAAAAAATTAAAGCTAAATAATTGTATAGATTCTATTTAGATATAAACTTAAATTATGAAAATATTGTACTTAAATAAAGGAAAGATAGCTATTATGTATCGGCATATCGTCAACTGGTTCATACTTGGTCTAGTCGTCACAAATTTCCCAATCGACACAATAGTATTTTTTATTATTTTCATTGAGCCAGACATTGGCACAGTACATGGTGCAAAAATAGCAGGTGAATAGCTGCTTGGAGGTACTGCCACGCCTAAGAAAAAGGAAGAGAGAGAGCGAGAGAGAGGAGAGAAAAATAGAAATAATTTGTTAATTAAAAATCTTAAATTCATAGGAAACCCCTGGTAAAATTAAGAAGGTTAAGTCATTTCAGATATAAGACTATCCATCTCTGCATTTCCCGTAATTTGCCTGTAATTTCAAAAAAAAAGGTTCCCATCTCTGATTTATTATAAATTTTGACAATGCGACGCTGTCAAATGAATAATTTTGAAAAACAATTGTAATTATATATTTGGATGACTTTACCGTCTTAATTCTACCATGAGGAAACCTTGAAGGTTTCAGAAACCTTTCATGGAGAAACTCTTCAATGGTGGACCCCTAGAAGATTTTCCCTTTAGAAAGACTTTTAAAAGTCCCTATTTGCATGGAAAACGTATTACAACTCACCTCTTCACCACCATAAAATAATAGGTAGTAAATAGCGGATTTGAGCATTTAAAGACGGTACAACGGGCCGTCGGTCCATTACGTATATGATTGACCATATACTTCTCGGGTAGTATATACTTCAGTGCAGGATTTTCATAAAATGGCGACAGGCGATTCCAATTTTCCAAAGTTTTCAAACAATCATCGTAGAGTGTGACCTGATTCTCCTTCGAGGGTACGGGGAAAATTTGTCGTGTACCTATGGGCAGAAGTAGTTTTTTGAATGTCTCCTTTTCGATGACCCAAAAGAAATCGCTGTGGGTGACGGGTCTGCCATAGAAAAATGAAAATAAATTAATAATAATTTATATTTCGTAAAAAATATGCATTTGTTCATAAACTTACATATGCGGCGATTTTGTAGGTGTTTCGAAATAATTCTGATAGAATTTCTCATAGATAATCGGTATGTGGGTAATGGCAGAATTATTGAATATCCTTAGATAGTCGAGGAACTTGGCCAAAGCCACGGGTAAATATATTAAAGAGCATTCTGAAAATAGAGAATTAAAAAAAAGATGTAAGTTCGGCCGGGCGGAATTTTGAAAATCCTCCATCATTTGGAACGAATTTGGCAATTTTCCAAAAAAATAAAATCCGTTAGAAAGTCTATTAAATTCTTAAAAATACCGAATGTAGCCATTATATATATTAAATACCGAATATAGGGAGGTACTATTATATGGGGGCTATGCTAAAACGTGGACCTGTGCAGGCAATTTTCTGCCTTAGGCCGTAGTATCCATTACGAACTTCAAATACCAAATTTGAAACAATTCCGGTGAATAATGCAGCTAAAATCATCAAAATACCGAATATCGGGAGGTACCGCTATGTGGGGGCTATACGAAGTCGTGGACCTGCATAGACAATGTTCTGCCTTAGGCTGTAGTATCCATTACGAACTTCAAATACCAAATTTGAAACAATTCCGATAAATAATGTCGCTAAAATCAACAAAGTACCGAATATCGGGAGGTACCGCTATATGGGGGCTATATGAAGACGTGGACCTAAACACACAACTTTCTGCCTCAGGCTGTAGTATCCATTTCGAACTTCAAATACCAAATTTGAAACAATTTCGGCGAATAATGTCGCTAAAATCATCAAAATACCGAATATCGGAAGGTACCGCAATATGGGGGCTATATGGAGACGTAGACCTGTACAGACAATTTTCTGTCTTAGGCTGTAGCTTCCATTACGAACTTCAAATGCCAAATTTGAAACAATTCCGATGAATAATGCAGCTAAAATCAGCAAAATACCGCATATCGGAAGTTACCGTTATATGGGGGCTATACGAAGACGTGGACCTGTGCAGGCAATTTTCTGTCTTAGGCTGTAGTATCCATTACGAACTTCAAATACCAAATTTGAAACAATTTGGGTGAATAATGTCCCTAAAATCATCAAAGTACTGAATATCGGTCGGTTCTGCTATATGGGGGCTATACGAAGACGTGGACCTACACAAACAGTTTTCTGCCTTAGGCTGTAGTGTCCATTACGAACTTCAAATACCACATTTGAAACAATTCCCGTGAACAATGTCGCTAAAATCATAAAAATACCGAATATCGGGAGGTATCGTTATTTGGTGGCTCTACGAAGACGTGGACCTGCACAGACAATTTTCTGGAATAGGCTGTAGTATTAGTATTTCGAACTTCAAATACCAAATTTGAAACAATTCTGGTGAATAATGTCGCTAAAATCATCAAAATACCGAGTATCGAGAGGTACCGTTATATGGGGGCTATACGAAGACGTGGACCTAAATGGGGCATTTTCAGTACCAAAAGTCCTGCAAACATAATATACATTTGAGTAAAACTTTATCAATCTACTTCATTTCGTTCGGAAGCTAGAGTGATTTCCACTGACGGACAGGCGAACAGACGGACGGACATTGTAAAATCGACATAGAATTTTATGCTGATCAAGAATATATATGTATATACTTTGTGGGGTCTAAAGTGTATATATTTCGAGGTGTTTCAAACGGAATGACAAATCTAATATACCCTCCATACTATGGCGGAGGATGTAAAAATGTGAGGAATTTTATATTTTTTTTCATTAAAAAAAGTGACAGTTTTACTTACTATCCGCCGACAGCATTTGCAGCGATGGCATATTGGCAACCCTCTCTGGAATGTGCCATACTTCGGTATTTTCACTGAGATTCAATTCATTGAGGCGGGAACATTCACATATAAATTGAGGTATACGTTTCAGTTTGTTTTTCGAAATATTAAGGGACTCCAAGCGTTTCATATAGGTAAGGGCTGGAAAGAAAAAGGAGAGGAAGGCCATATTAAATGAGGAAATTTTAAATTTGTCGCATAGGGAGGAGAGAGGCACCCAGTGAACTATTACGAATGGTTAATTTTTAAAAATTTTCTGGTTTTAGGTCGCCGGCTGGCTATTTGACAAAAATAAACAGAAATATAGGTTGTTATAGTTCGTTTATTTGAGCCATAATTTGAACTAGAGTGACCTTATCTTTTGCTATTCAAAGATTGGACGAGACAGAGTCAAAATATGGCAACCCTGTGCAAATACCCCTGCCATCATTTGCCTTTCTGCATACATAAGGTCTGCCATCTGAAGCAAAAAGGTTGAATTTTCTCTCGTCCGTGAACAGCACATTCTTCCAAAATGAAAAATCCTCTGTCTAAGTGCTCCTTGGCACATCGCAATCTTACTTCTTGATTTTGCTGGCTGATTAGAGGTTTATGTCTAGCTCTTCTTCCATTGTAATCCGACTTATATTGCAGTATATTTCTTATTGTTTGAGGGCAACATGTTTTTTCCCAAATCCTTTTCAGCAATTTTTGCGAGCTTCGGTGCACTCAAAAATGGATCCTTTTTGATCTGACGTAAAAAATACAGGGTGAGATAAACAACACACTGCAACAAAGTCAAACGCCATAATTTTACCATTTTTTTTAATTTTATTGAATGAAAGCAAGAAATGTCGGAAATAGCATCAAATTTTAGAATAAGTTTAGATTTGTTCGATTTGGTCACCTTTGGCATTATGGCCTTTAAACGGCCAATGAAACCGTCTCACGCTGCCCAAATGTTGCTCTGTGGTATTTTGGCCCATTCCCGGCGAAGCGCTTGCTTGAGATGATCGACATTTTGGTATTTTTTAGGGCCAACCTTACTTCCCAAAATACTGCAGACACAATAGTCCAACGGATCGGAGTCAGGAGCTTTTGGTGGCCATTGTGCGCTGGAAATGAAGCGAGGCATTTGCACCTATTCTTGGGTGGCGCAGCTGAGTGCGATGGTGCTGAGTCCTGTTGGAATGTCCAAGGTCTGCGGCCAAAATGTTTGGGTGTCAAAGGCTTTTATACACCCTCCAGAATATTTTCACGATAATATTTGACATTTATTTTGATGTCACAGTCGATTAATACGAGCGGAGAGCGACCATCGGCTGTTATGGCGGCCCACACCATCACCCTGGCCGGCACTTGAGTTCTGGTGCCCAACCAAAGGTGCACATTTTCAGCTGACCTCTTTGGCAGGTAAACACCATTGATTTTGTTTGTTCACAATATGCTGGACAACGAATGTTTTCTCTTCGCCAAATTCGCCAGTTCACCACTTTCGGCCAAGCGAAGCAACTCTTTAGCTCTTTTGAGTCTATTTTCTTTCTGTTGCGGTGTAAGTTCTTGGACTCTTTGGAATTTCATGGCTTTACCCCGAGCTCATTTTTCAATATTTGCCGAATGGAATATTGCGATATGTGCACGACCTTTTTTTCGACCACTGCGGCGCGAGTTTCCATCCAGTTGCTTCTTTTACTTTTCGAACCATTTCTGCTGATGTGTCCACTTCCTTGACGTCGGCCTACGCTACCAGTAGCACATAAACGATTTACTCTTATTTACTCTTGTTTAAATGCTGGAGTGCTCTAACGATAGCCACTTGTGGTTTCCAGCCAAGTATAAAGAAATCACTCTATCACGCTTGAATTCCATCACGAATAACTTTTTTTCTGGAAAAATCCCACCAAAATGCTTTAGTACGCTTGTAAACAATATAATGAGCTGTCACTGGAACAATTTGAACAGCTGTCGGACGAGTGGCTTATAAATGACAGCAGTCTGAAGTTGATTGCAGTTTTTTTCATCTCACCCTGTAAGTACGTTTAGATTTACGAAATCCACTCGATCTCAGATGTCAATTCCATAGCGCCAAATAATATCCTCTGGATCTATCAATACGATTTACCTGACGTATACGCTATGGAGTTGCCATTTGAGATGAAATGGATTCAGTAGTCGAAATGTGCTCTATGTTAGGTTTCTACTATTATAACCGGAAAATAAAGAAGTTATTTATACCCCTTAAGATAAATATTTTGTAACAAACATTTTCGAAATTCTATGTAAATATAATGCGATTTTTTCTTTGTTGCCACTTCATAAAGGGAAATTGATTTGAAATTAGAATTAGAATCAAATCAAAAATAAATTACTGTTGTTACTGTATCTAATTATATCCTAACGACATTTGTGATGTGAATGCGCCAACTATTGATGATGCTTTCGGGATTTTTTTGGCTAGACCAACCGTTCTGTTGTGAGGTCAAGGTCCTCTATTCATTTTGACATCAAATGCAGGTAGTGTAAATTCCTAATGGTAGGACAGAATTTTTGAGGGCAAAATTTTGACCTTTTTGTCGACACAAATTTCTAAAAGAGAAATGGATTGGAATTTTATTTTCAATTGGGTTAGGCGCCGCTTTCTAAAAATAGATTAAAAGGTTTGTCACAGTAATTATTTATTGACGTTTCTTGTTTTGCAAATCTAACTATGTCAAATTGTAGGAATGTATCGCTAAGATAGGAAAATAAGTTTGGGAAGCACAAATAAAATCCACAAGAAAAAGGATCTTAAAATGCACCCGACAACATCGAAACATATTACAATCAAATGAAGGTAGCTTCTGCTCTTTATAGAAAAAACATCCTAAAAAGGAAGCTTTAATTGAAATCTCGAGCAGTTGTTCTCCAAAAAAAAAAAAAAAAAAGAGAATTCAGCACAAAAAAGCCAGAGAGACAAAAATTAAAAGAGAATAACAAAGGGTCCATCGACGATATTGCTACAGTTGGATGTCATGGTAACGCCGTCGACATCGATCAGACGACGTGTCACGCAAATGGGTATCAGTCGACGGTCTTTACGGTCTACAACGGATTTTGGTACAAGAATTGAAGGTGTTTCCGTACAAAGTCCTGATGGTGCATCAGCTGTTAGCTGCTGACCGCCACAGACTCTTTCATCCCTTAAAGACAATATCCGTCAAGAATATGTGGACTTATCGCCGGAAGTTCTAGAAAAAGTGATGGAAAAAGCCATAAAATAACCTGCAGCCATTTACATGACATCATATATTCGACTTCGATGTAAAAAGACACAATAAAAATAATCCACAAGAACAATCAAAGTTACTGCCAAAAAACATCGGAAGTTCAATTTTCGCCACCTTGTATTATTCTTGCAGGAGTATTTCAGGATGAATTCGGTTTACGTGCAAATGGATTGGGGAAGAAATCTCCGATCAAAATTACCATAACTTGAAGATGGAGTAGTTGTGGCAGTCACTGGAATTCTGCGATAAACACAGACTGACATATATGAACGAGGAAATACAAATTTTCAAGAATTTGCTGAAGCAAATCGATTATGCAAATGAAGACAAATTATGCTCGTTTATTTCATTCGAAGATATAAACGATTTTACACAAGAACTCATAAAAAATTGATAAAATGTTTAGCTTAGGAAAAAAGAAGAAAAGGAGATGGAAGATAGGAAATAATTGCAGATACATCTCTTCCAGAAGGCCACGTCGCTTATTCTGCCAAATTCGATTGGTCTTTAATCTTCGTTTGGAAGAATTAGGTACAATGCGATAAAGAAGCGACAGACGATGAGAGGAGCAGATTTGCCAAGACATATCTTCAAGCAGGCCAGGTCGATTATTCCGCAAAATGTGATTGGTCTTTCCCCTTCGATTCGAAGAAGACGCAACAATGTGATTAAAAAGTGCCAAAGGATGAGAAGACAGAATAAAGTAGAACTAAAAAAAAAAAACGTTTCGGAAAACAGAACTTTCGATAGTTCTGAACTATATACCAAGTTAATCGATAATTAGCAAAAATGAGAAGTAGTTATGGAAAATCTAAACCAAGCCATAGAAATTATAAGAAGCCAACAATTAGAAGTAGAATCGCTAAATCGCTCTCTAATAAGGAAGATGGAACGCTGAAGCAACCGCGGATGCATTTTGGGAACGCCAATAGAAAATAATTGCTTAGAAAGGAAAAATTGCTTGCTTAGGAAGCCTGGAAAATTAAGCAACCAGCTATGGGAGGCTAAGGTGGTGACGTAAGAAAGATGCGTTGGCGAGAGGGCTGAGATGTTTCAGATTTCAAACGACATTCCAGCCTAGCGGTAGTATTTTTCTTCTCATTTTTACACTCTCAGGCATATGGCTAGAGAGGGTATATATCAATTGATACGGTCAAAACGTGCCTCATCGAAATAACGGTTTTAGATCCTAGGTCTCTTTGGACCAAATCCGTTTCAGGACATTTGAAGTTGAAATAGCAATATCCGTCTGTCTGGCTGGTGCGCACGATAACTCTCGAAGGGAGTATCCGTTTTAATCCAAACTTCGTACATCGTAAGTTTATTGTCAAATTTAGATCGAGTTTAGAGATGGGCAATATCGGTCCACTCTTTCTGGTACCTTCCCCACAAAATGTAAAAAATTTCAAATGAAATAATTTTCTGTACAGAAAAAGAATGGATGATCCAATTGTGTCCCAACTTTGCTAATCCTAATATTTCCATCAGTTCTAGATCGGGTGCGAAAATGGACAACATTGGTCCAATCTATCAATGGTCAAAATTTTTGAATAATTATAACGCCGATAAAATATTACTTAATTGTCCAATTGTCTTCAAATTACACACATCATAATATTTTTATTAATCCATGGTCTGGTATGAAGATGAAATATATCGGCCCGCATCTTCTTGTAGCTCCACCACAAAGAGTCGAAATTTGGAATATCTATGATGCTCATAAAACAAGAAATTAATATCCGATTCCTTTCAGACTTGGCATATCTCAATATTTCCGTCAACAAAAGATCTGTTATAGCGAAGGTAGAGATCGGACCATTCCTTTCGGTACCTCTCCGACAACGGGTCAAAGTTTTGAATAACCAAAACGATCATAAATTTCGAAATGAGCATCTGGTTCTCTTCAAGTTACATGTATCACAATATTTTTATTAACCCAAGGTCTGGGTTGAAAATGGCTCGGCTCGCTTCTTCTTGTAGCTCCACCACAAAGAATCAAAATTTCGAATATACATGAAGCTCATAAATCACGAGATTAATATCCAATTCCATTCAGACTTGGCACATCTCAATATTTCCGTCAACAAAAGATCTGTTATAGCGAAGGTAGAGATCGGACCATTCCTTTTGGTAGCTCCCCCACAAAGGGTCAAAATTTTGTATAACCATGAGGCTCATAAAACGCGAAATGAGCATCCAATAATTTTCAAACTCGGCACATCCAAATATTTTTAACAACAAAATATTAGGCGTGAAAATGGGATATATCGGAACACATCTTCTGGTACCTTTCCCACAACGGGTAGAAATTTTAAATATTTATGACTTATATAAAAAAGTCATAATTTTCAATATTTATATCTCTCATAGCTTGCGAAACAATTCGGCGGATGTTTTTAAACTTGGAATTTAATATGGAATTTATCGCCTCACATCTTCTTGTACCTCCCCCACAGTAGGTCACTCATCGGAGGGTTAAAAAAAATCCAATACATTTTTCCGTAAAGTGTACTTTGCGGTGGCCTCGATCCAATTATAATGCACTTTCTTTTGTTTTTTTTTTGCGGATTAGGGCATTTTATTGTTTTTTTTTTTTTTTGAACCCCCAAGACACCTTGCCAATTTATTTGTAATACCCAAACAGCGATGATTGCTATCATCAATGATTTAATAGTTCACTTGGCGCGACCGTTATGAGATATTTAATTTCCCTCTCTTTCTCTATCTACTTACTTTTTGGCAAATCTGTCAATTCATTTGAGCTGACGTTCAAATGTAACAGATTCAGCATGTAACCAATGGATGTGGGTAGATGTTGCAGCTGATTATTGGAGACATCTAAAAATTCAAGATTTTCCAAGAGATACAATTCTTCGGGTAGCTGGGTGAGATTGTTGCCGGCCAGATGGATAAATTTGAGATTTGTTAGGTTCAAAAACCACTTGGGGATGGCGGCAATGTAGTTTTCTTTCAGATAGACTTCTTCCAAGTCCTCGTATAAATATAAATCCATGGGAATTTCTTTGTAATTTAAATAGCTCCAGTGTAAACAACGGCGATTCATTTTGTAATTTGTATTTTTTTTTTCTGAGATCAAAATGTATTTATTTTAATTTTTTGTAGGAGATAAAATATTATATCACAGCCTTTTTTTCAAATACGAAATAAAACAGTTTTTCTTCACTTCACTTCTTTGTTTTTTTTTTCTCGAATTTTTCCCGACGACACTTGAACAACGACTAAATGTTTATGGTATTTGTTTTTATCTGAATTGGTTAAGGCGATCTGATCTTTAGTCGGTCATGATCAAAACGCATATGGATGAATATATGATGCTCTCGATTTGCATTTTGGGCCACCAAAATATAATGTTTTCTTTTGGCGCTGACACTCTGAGAAATTTTCGTCATGCACTTTTTTTTTTGGTTTCTTTTTGTAAATTTAGAAAAGAAAAGTGGCAACAAGTAGATGAGAAACAAAAAATTAAAAAAAAAATTAAACAGAAATACTCAAAAAAGTGTGAAAATGAATAAATTTTTGTTTTACGTTTAACAAGATTTCTTGGTCAAAATCAATTATCGTCAAGAGTGCGACAACAATACCCCAAGAGGTGGTGGTCACCATTGTTTTGTTTACAAACAAAATTTTCATGAAGAGCAACAACAAAAACAAAAGTCACCCGAAATTTCCAATGCACTTTGATTTTCTTGAGTTCCTATGACGTATTCTTAATCACTGCGTTATTTTATTTTGCAAATTTCAACAAAAATTAAAGCATACTTTAAGGGTTTTCGTTGACGAATTTATTCCCACAACTCTTTACCACGTTTATTTGCTTAAATCTTTACCGTTGTTATTATTCAACTGTCTTCTGCCTTTGATTTAAACACCTCTACCTTACACAGTTTCCTTGCTTTCGTTTTTCCTTAACCTTGACAGTCATTTGCCACTGCTGCACTTTGTTTTTTCTCCCTTAAATGTAACATTAATTGCCAGCCATTGTTTTGTTGTTATTTTCACACATTCACTCTCTCTCCCTCTTTTTCTGTTAAGTTGTCTCTCTCTCTCACCCAAAATGCGCTCAGTCAATGCATGTTGCATGCGTTTATGCCGTTATTGATTTGTTTTGCCTTTTCTATTTTGCATGTCTCTATGTCAAGGTCACCGGCGTCTCTTTTTGGTGTAGCTGCTGAGTCCCCCCACACACAAGCATACACACACACTCATAATGCAAGAGAAAAGCTTTCTCTTGGTGTAGAAGTCTCTTCCACCATTCGAATTTAAAGGGGGTTTGGTGCAATGGCTGGCCAGATAGAAATGATGCAAATAAAGGCGTTATTGTGGTAGAAATGTATAATAAAAGAAAGTGAACAGTGGGGGAATTTACATCAAATAAATGTAAATGACAGAATTACATTTTAAATATAAAAAAATACTATTGTAAATGCAAATGAAACTAGAACAAATGGAATTATATTTTTCGTAATTACCGATTTCTAATTTATATATGAAATTCCATCCAATCAATACAGGATGAACAAAGTCAAACTGTAACAAAGTCTAACGCCATAATTTTTACATTTTTTTAAATTTATTGAATTAAAGCAACAAATGTCGAAAATAGCATCAAATTTAAGAACAAGTTTAATTTTGTTCAAATTGGTCACCTTTGGCACGAATTATGACATGGTGCTGAGTCCTGTTGGAATGTCCAAGACCTGCGACCAAAATTTTTGCGTGCCCAAGGCATCTATTCTGATGCTACGTTCTTTAATACGAGCGGAGAGCGACAATCGCCTGTTATAGCGGCCCATACCATCACCATGGCTTGAGTTCTGGTGGCCAACCGAAGGTGCACATTTTCAGTTGACTTCTTTGGCAAGTAAACACGATCATTTTGTTTGTTTATAAACTGCTGGACAACGAATGTTTTCTCATTGGTGACCACCAAACCAAATTCGGCAGTTCACCACTTTCGGCCAAGCGAAGCAACTCTTAAACTCTTTTGAGTCTATTTTCTTTCCGTTGCGGTGTAAGTTCTTGCACTTTTTGGCATTTCAAAGGCTTTGCCCCGAGCTCATTTTTCAATATTTGCCGAAGGGAATATTGCAAAATGTTCAGCTCACGAGCCACGAGAGTTGGATGCCTATTTCGCTTTCTTTGAGCGTTTTGTTTTTCAAAATCTTGAACCCTATGTAGGGGAGGTACCAAAAGAAATGGTGACATCTCTCCCATCTTTATAACAGATCTTGTGTCGATGGAAACATTGAGACGTACCAAGTCTGAATGGAATCGGATGTTAAATTCGCGTTTTATGAGCTTCGTGGATACTCAAAATGTTGAACCTTTGTGGGGGAGGTACCAGAAGGTGTGAACCGATATATTCCATCTTCGCGCCAGATCTTGGATTAATGGAAATTGTGTGATGTGTGTAATGTGAAGAGAACCGTGTGGTTATTTCGGATTTTATGATATTTTTCAAACGTTTAACCTTTTGTGGGGGAGGTATCAGAAGGAATGGTCCGATCACCACCATCTTTATAACAGGTCTTGTGTTTATGGAAGCATTGAGATGTGCCAAGTCTGAATGAAATTGGATGTTAATTTCGCGTTTTATGAGCTTCATGGATATTAAAAATTTTGACCCTTTGTGGGGGAGGTACCAGAAGAAGAGGATATTCACACCAGACCTTGGGTTAATAAAGATATTGTGATGTGTGTAATTTGAAGACCATCGGATGTTACATCACTTTTTATAAGAGTTATAATTAATGAGAATTTTAACCCTTTGTGGGGGAGGAACTTGATGAAGTTGACCGATATTGTCCATTTTCGCCCCCGATCTAGCACTGAAGGAAATATTAGGATTTGCAAACTTGGAACGAAATCGGATTATTCTTTCTCTGTCTGTGCAGTAAATTATTTTCTTTGAAAATGTTGACATTTTGTGGGGGAGGTACCAGAAGGAGTGGACCGATATTGTCAATCTCCGAATTGGATCTAAGTTTGACAATAATATTACGATGTACCAAGTTTGGATCGAATCGGATACTTCCTTCGAGAGTAATCGTGCGCACCAGTGAGCCAGACAGGTTGACTCGACTACCAATATCCTGGTATAGGGAGAGAATAAGAGAGAGAGAGAGATAGATAGAGAGAGAGCAACGCTAGCGAACCAATCTATGTTCTTAAGTCATACTCCTTTGATACGGAATATGTTGACAATTCTCAGTATTTTATTATGATAATTTTTATACCAATTTGTTGGTGATCCATAGTGTAATAATTTTTGATCAATCTTAAATTGCCATAACACAAGTGGGGGGATTTTTTTCTCAGCAGTAAAATATTTTTCCCTATCCTATTTATCATTCTCATTAGCAAGTATGAAAATAATTCAATTATTATGTTCGCACAAACATCTTCAATCAATGAACTCAAAATCTCTATTTGCACATAACTAACTGCGAAGAAAAAAGCAAAACTCATACGCAAACGGAGTAAAAGTCTCAATTTTTTTTTTTCAAAAATTCCCCGAAAAGCATACAAACTTTCGCACCACATGTATAAAAACATTTGCAACTTCTCAACCGATTTCAGTATTTCCATAACTTTCATATAAGACTGACGGAGGAAGAAAAAAAAAGAAAAATAAAAATGAGAATTTCAAACGTATTCTCCACACTTTGGATACTTTTTGTCGTTGGTCTAACAAGTGTCTTGCAATTTTCATCGGCCTCAATTCTAACATCGTCAGTGATCGTGCCAGTGCCGGGATATTATCCATCGTCGTATCACTACCATCCATCGCCGTATCATCATTACCATGGATATTATCCACCACCGCCACCAATACCATATCATGGATATTCTGGATACCATGACCACTACCACTATCACCATTAAATTGAATTTTAATTTAAGTTCACAACTATTTATAAACAATTAAAAATTAATATTATATCAATAATGTAAATAAAATTGAAAAACACAGAAATTACGAATTTTGAGTTCTTTCTTTGGAAAGTTAAAAGAAGGAAAGTTAGAGGAAGCTAAGTGTAAAATGGCGGAACTATGAGCAACGGGCATAAAGCTTGAATGTAGTCTGAAGGTCGCTGTAGATGCTAATGTTGACCCCAAATAAAAGTTGTAGTTTTGTAAAAGTCCAGGTTCAACGAGACCTAAAGTTGAAGGATGGTGAGAATGAAAGTAAATACCGTGTCCTGGAAAATCAAATGCGAGAACTCAAGTCCGAATTTATGGCTGCTGAGTAGAGAGGACATGCTATAAATGTGTCTAGTAAATATGCCCAGTTATTAGAGGAAACAAAGCGTGAAATAGCGGAGTTACGAACAACGAACATATAGTGAGGATAGACTGAAGTTTGCTGTAGATGCCAATGTTGGCCCTAAAAAAAGTTGCAGTTTTGGTTCAATGAGACCTAAAGCTTAAGGATGGTGAGAATAAAATTAAATAACGTTTCCTGCAAAATCAAGTACGGGAACTCAAGTCCGAATTCGTGGCTGCTAAAAATAATGCTAAGCTATTGATGTATCTAATAAATATGCCCAGTTATTAGAGGAAGCAAAGCGAAAAATGGCGGAACTACGAACATAAAGCTTGAATATAGTCTGAAGGTTGCTCTAAATACCAGTGTTGCATTAAAGAAAGGTTTCAGATATTGAACGTCCAGGTTCAATGAGACCTAAAGTTGAGAATGAGAGTAAGTGCCGTGTCGTGCAAAATTGAGTGCAGGAACTCAAGTCCGAATTGGTTCCCGCTGAGAAGAGAGCTCAAGCTAAATTTGTGTCTATTAAATATGCCCAGTTATTAGAGGAAGCAAAGCAAGAAATGGCGGAACAACAAACATAAAGCTGCAGACTACAGAAGTTGGCTCTAGATGACGGTGTTAGCCCTAAAGAAAAGTTAGAGTTTTGTGAACATCCAGGTTCAACGAGACATAAAGCTAAAGGATGTTGAGAATGAGAGTAAATGCCGTGTCGTGCAAAATTAAGTGCAGGAACTCAAGTCGGAATTAGTGCCTGCCGAGAAGAGAGCTAAAGTTTAATTTGTGTCTAATAAATATGCCCAGTTATTAGAGAAAGTAATACGTGAAATGGCGGAAATACGAATGAACATAAAGCTTGAGGATATGCTGATAGGTTGCTATAGATGTCAATGTTGATCCTAAAGAAAGGTTGAAGTTTTCAACCAGTCCGAAAATTGAAGGATGGTGAGAATGAGAGTAAAATCAAGTGCGGGAACTCAAGCCCGAATTGGTGGCTGCCAAAAATAACGGTAAGCTATTGATGTGTCTAATAAATATGCCCATTTATTAGAGGAAGCTTAGCGAGAAATTGCGGAACTACGAACATAAAGCTTAAATATAGTCTGAAGGTTGCTCTAGATATCTGTGTTGGCCTTGGATATATGTTGCAGATATATTAAATGTACAGGTTGAAAAAGATCTAAAGTTGAAGGATAGTGAGAATGAAAGTAAATACCCTGTCCTGCAAAATCAAGTGCAGGAACTCAATACCGAAATGGTGGATGCTGAGAAGAGAGCTTAAGCGAAATTTGTGTCCAATAAATATGCCCAGCTATTAGAGGAAGCAAAGCGTAAAACGGCGGAACTACGAACATGAAGTTTGAGTATAGGCTGAAGGTTGCTATATTTGCCAATGATGACCTTAAAGAAACGAATAGGTTCAACGAGTCCTAAAGTTGCAAGATGGTGAGAATAAAATTAAATACCGTGTCCTGCAAAATCAAGTGCAGGAACTCAATTCCGAATTGGTGGCCGGTGAAAAGAAAGCTAAAGCTTATTAGAGGAATCAAAGCGTGAAATGGCGGAGTTACTATCAACGAAAATAAATAGACTGAAGGTTTGCTATAGATGCCAACTTTGCTCTTAAAGAAGGGTTCCAGATATAAAATGTCAAGTTTTAAAGAGACTTAAAATTGACGGATGATGTTAATGACTATGAAGGTTGTGTCCTACAAAATTAAGCAAAGGAACTCGAGTCCGAATTGGTGGCTGCTGAGGAAAGATGGCATGCAGTAAGAGTTCAAATAAATCTCAACGTAAATTCTTTGGAAAAGGAAGTTAGTTGCTTGAAGAAACAAGTCGTCGACATAACATCCGAATTGGACAAAAACGAAAAGAAAGATGCCTTCATACTTGTCACGAATTTGAAAGAGAAAGTCAAAAAGGCTCTGTGTGTTGCCGAGGAAATTAGAGACAAATTATGAGCGGATAACCAGGAGGCAGAACGCAAGCGCAAGGCTTTAAAGGCAGTAATAAGAGAACTTACTGATGAGTTATCTTGTTCAAAGAGAACACTACTTGCAGCTGAAACCGAACATGAGGCGTTGGCTGCAAAGCTAGAAGCTAGAGAGTGAAAATATTGAAGGACATGTTTGTAAGAGGCTGATATATTACAACTAAAAGAAGATTTGCTTATATCTCAGAAGGCATTCAAAACATCCGATATCGAGGTCGATGAATTGGCTATAAAATTAGCGGTAATAAGAGAACTTACTGATGAGTTGTTTTGTTCAAAGAGAGCACGACTTGCAGCTAAAAACCGATGGTGACGGTTTGCCTGCCTAGAGAGGGAAAAGATAGAAGGATATCTTGTTGGAGGCTGACATATTGCAACTAAAAGAAGATTTGCTCATATCGCAGAAGGCATTCAAAACATCCCAAATCGAGGCCAATGAATTGGCCGCTCAATAACAAAATAAGATGGTGAAAGAGGTCCATATTAAAGATTCCATTACTTAAGTTGGAGTACTTGAGGAGGGAGAAGAATCAAGTTCTGGAGACTTGAATGGGCAGGTATCAACCACTAAAAAATCGAAGTGGAAAAGACGGAAGGTAAACGTGAACTGTTCGTCAGCGAGGTGAAGACGAAGAAGAATAGTGCAGTCTGCATCGCTGGAATAATAATATGCTGAAGAAAGCTCAAGTTGTGATGCCTGGTGGAAGTGGTGCAAAGAGTCAAATACGATTCGGAGTGACAGGAAATTGTGAACGCTAGAACGATAAATTGTCCAAGGTCTGTAAGATGGCGCTGCCAGAGAAGTATGACAACTTTGGCTACAGAGAGTAGACGACCCATAAAAAGGATTCAGCCTGGAAATTGAAGCCGGCAGACAAAGGAGGTGCGTCGTTCAATAGAGACCGGCTGGAAAGATGGAGAAGTTTCCTGGGTGCTATAACTTAACTTCTTTTCTCTAAAAATGTCAGTTCTCTTAGATCTATTTTAATTTTTATACCCTCCACCATAGTATGGAGGTTATATTAAGTTTGTCATTTCGTTTGAGTTTAGCGACATTATTCACCGGAATTGTTTCAAATTTGGTATTTGAAGTTCGTAATGGATATTACAGCCTATGACAGAAAATTGTCTGTGCAGGTCCACGAATTCGTATAGCCCCCAAATAGCGGTACCTCCCGATATTCGATATTTTGATGATTTTAGCGACATTATTCTCCGGAATTGTTTCAAATTTGGTATTTGAAGTTCGTAATGGAGACTACAGCCTAAGACAGTAAATTGTCTGTGCAGGTCTACGTCTTCGTATAGCCCCCATATAACGGCACCACCCGATATTCGGTATTTTGATGATTTAAGCGACATTATTCTCCGGAATTGTTTTAAATTTGGTATTTGAAGTTCGTAATGGATACTATGGTCCATGGCAGAAAATTGTCTGTGCAGGTTCACGTCTTCGTATAGCCTCCATATAACGGTACCTCCCGATATTCGGTACTTTAATGATTTTAGCGACATTATTCACCGGAATTGTTTCAAATTTGGTATTTGAAGTTCGTAATGGGTACTACAGCCTAAGGCAAAAAATTGTCTGTGCAGGTCCACGTCTTCGTATAGGCCCCATATATCAGTACCTACCTATAATCGGTATTTTCACGATTTTAGGTACAATGTTCACCGAAATTGTATGAAATTTCGTGTTTGAAGTTCGTAATGGGTACTACAGCCTATGACAGAAAATTTTCTGTGCAGGTCCACGTTTTGGTATAGCTCCCATATAACGGTACCCCCCGATATTCGGTACTTTGATGATTTCAGCGACATTATTCACAGAATGCAGGTCCATGTCGTCGTATAGACCCTAATATAACGGCTACATTCGGTATTTTTAAGATTTAAACAGAATTTTTAACGGATTTTATTTTTTTAATTGCCAAATTCGTTCCGTATGGTGAAGGGTATCCAAAGTTCAGCCCGGCTGAACTTAAAGGGTTCTTACTTCTTCATATTTTTATTATATTTTATATAAATTTTTGCCCCTGCCAAGAATGTTCATGGGGGCTACCTAGTGCAGTAAAAATAGTTAAACGGTGCATATATTATTCCGCGTACATAAATGAAATCATATTTTGGTTAATTGTACGAAACCCTACAGTTTTTCCTTTCAATGAAATAAAATTGTTCCAATGGCTTAAACTGGTACAATGCAATAAAACATCCAGATTTGCTTTTAAATATAAACGGGTATAAAAATAATATAGGTTTTATTTAGATTTTCACAAAAATGTATCCGAAGTCCTTGCAAATATACGTTGGGCGCCACATCAAATATACAATTTCTTATATATATCCAAAACCTCCATGGTGTGGTGGTCCATGAAATCCATGATGATGATGGTGATGGGGACGATGGAAGTGTGGCGGCGGCGGTGGTGGATAGACTGGAATTGGTTTGATAACTACCACCCTGCGCCTAAAGGTAGCCTCGCTTTCCGGCATCAAAGCCATTGCAATAAGAAATGTTAGGAGCAACACTGCCAACTTTGAGATCTTCATTACTTAACTTGTGGATCTCAACCGAGTAAGCGATGATTTGAAACTGTGGTGTTAATTGAAAGTTACAATATTTTTATACCCCAATGAGGTGTGGAAGTTTAAAAAAAAAAAAATGATTTATTGAAAAATTCTTAATTATGAAATTTTGCTATGGAAATTTGAAAACAGTTTGTTTTTTGATTTGTCATCTTTGTAAATATTGCAGAACTATTTATGGGAAGAACACAACGATTAGCAAAGGGAAATTCCCAACATTTCTAGTGAATGAATCCTAATTAATGTGTCTATGGAATTTCAGATGTAATTTTTTAAATGCCAATATGGATAAAATGTGGGGGTGTAAATTCGAAAATCTGCTCAATCATTTGAGAGCTACCATGAGTTATCAAAAATTTAGCTAGAGAAGAAAATTTCCGAACTTATTTAAGTGCTTGGCACATTGTTTCAAACAAAAATTTCCCCTTCAAGTAGAACTCAAGTTTTCAATATTTATGACCAATGATGTTTTCTGTGTGGAGGGAAGACCAATGAGGTCTTCTGCTAAGAGAGACCCGCTAAGGTCTTCCATGGAGAAAAGAGCAACGATGTTCTTCTACACATAGAAGACTAATGACAGCTTAAGAAATTTGTCTCAGATTTGTATCTTCCTCACTTCCTCTTTCTCTCTCCACTTCTCTCTCCCTCTCAGTTCCCCAAATGAAAAAACAACTCCTCCTCTCCTTATTCTAACTTTAAAAATTGTTATCACATTTCACTTTATTTCTTTCTTTTCCTCGTAATTTTTTTGGTTTCCTATTTTTCACCATTCATTTTTAACATCCACCGTGACCGCCTTGAATTCTTGATCACTCAGGAAGTGCCATTTATAGCCTAAAATTTGTGACACCTCACGTTCGACGGCCTCATAGGTGCGGCAGGAACGTCTTAGCCATATGTGAAACTCATCTGACCATTCAGGGTGGCGTGGCCAATCGCAGCGTATGATGGTGGCAAAACGGCGGACATGAAGGCGGCGTAGATTTTTGGCCGTTCTGGCTATCAGCAGGACTGTGGAGGTGGAGACTTTTTCACGAATCACCTGGAAGGGCAATGAAGAAATATTATTTTAAAAATAAATTAAATCACATTGGGCGCCATTATTACCAATGTGTGCAGATTATAACACTGTCTACACATGAGCAGCATCAGAGAATCGATACGATTATGAAATGATTTGGGACTAGAGAATTTCGGAAGCATTTCAAAACCATAAATGGCCAGGGTGTTTTTGTAATGATCAACCATTTTGATGACGGTGTCGGGATGGATCTGGAAAAAACAAAAGAGAGAAGAAAAGGAAAACACCACTAATTGAGCTTCTTATAGAACAGGACTTAATGCTTTCAGAGAAAAGCAGATGTGTTTCTCTCAGAGAAGAGCAGATCGTATTCTCGGAGAAGAGTAATTGGTCTTCTTCTCGGAGAAGAGCAAGTGGTCTACTTCTCAGAGAAGATCAATTGGTCTTCTTCTCGGAGAAGAACAAGTGATCTACTTCTCAGAGAAGAGCAAGTGGTCTTCTCCTCGGAGAAGAGCAAGTGGTCTTCTTCTCGGAGAAGAGCAAGTGGTCTTCTTCTCGGAGAAGAGCACAAATGGTCATCTTTTCGGAGAAGAGCACAAATGGTCTTCTTTTCGGAGAAGAGCACAAATGGTCTTCTTCTTGGAGAAGACCTCGAATGGTCTTTTTCTCGGAGAAGACCTCAAATAGTCTTCTTCTCGGAGAAGAGCACAAATGGTCTTCTTCTCGGAGAAGACCTCGAATGGTCTTTTTCTCGGAGAAGTCCTCAAATAGTCTTCTTCTCGGAGAAGAGCACAAATGGTCTTCTGTCATAGAACAGCTCAAATGGTCTTCTCTCATAGAAAAGCACAAATGGCCTTCTCTCATAGTAGAGCACAAATGTTCTTCTCAGAGAAGAGAAATTGGTCTTCTCAGAGAAGAGAAATTGGTCTTCTCAGAGAAGAGAAATTGGTCTTCTTCTCGGAGAAGAGCAGGTGGTCTTCTTCTCGGATAAGATCAGGTGGTCTTCTCGGAGAAGAGCAGATGATCTGGTCTCTTATAGAAGAGCAATTGGTCTTGTCTCTCATAGAAGAGCAATTGGTCTTCTCTCTCATAGAAGACTTTTTCTCGGAGAAGATCATGTGGACTTCTTCTCTGAGAAGAATTAGTGGTCTCCTTCTCGGAGAAGAGCAGTTGGTCTTCTCTCATAGAAGAGCTGTTGGTCTTCTCTCATAGAAGAGCTGTTGGTCTTCTCTCATAGAAGAGCTGTTGGTCTTCTCTCATAGAAGAGCTGTTGGTCTTCTCTCATAGAAGAGCTGTTGGTCTTCTCTCATAGAAGAGCTGTTGGTCTTCTCTCATAGAAGAGCTGTTGGTCTTCTCTCATAGAAGAGCTGTTGGTCTTCTCTCATAGAAGAGCTGTTGGTCTTCTCTCATAGAAGAGCTGTTGGTCTTCTCTCATAGAAGAGCTGTTGGTCTTCTCTCATAGAAGAGCTGTTGGTCTTCTCTCATAGAAGAGCTGTTGGTCTTCTCTCATAGAAGAGCTGTTGGTCTTCTCTCATAGAAGAGCTGTTGGTCTTCTCTCATAGAAGAGCTGTTGGTCTTCTCTCATAGAAGAGCTGTTGGTCTTCTCTCATAGAAGAGCTGTTGGTCTTCTCTCATAGAAGAGCTGTTGGTCTTCTCTCATAGAAGAGCAGTTGGTCTTCTCTCATAGAAGAGCAGTTGGTCTTCTCTCATAGAAGAGCAGTTGGTCTTCTCTCATAGAAGAGCAGTAAAACTCACCATTGTTTTCGGCGTCCTATATGTTATGCTGTACACCGGAGCTTCTGGCTGAAAGACAACCTCTCCATCGACCAGTGATTCCAGACGCAGATGGACCTTCAAACCAGGATTATCACGTTTAACCATGCGCCATGCCTTGACACTGCAATGGGATATGGCCAGGTAGGAGATGGTATAACAGTTTTGTAACAAATGTAAATGTTTCAATTTGGTGTCGGCCAACAGCATCAGGACATCATCGTCAATATTTTGGGGAGAAATTGTCAATTCCTAAAGAGAAAGGAGAATATTTTAATTTAAAATTTTTTTTTCAAAATCCTTTCCCCTCACCTGTAAATTCAAAAACAGCCCCACATGCATGATGGGACAATGTAGCGAGGTGACATTGACCAAATTCAATACCCGCATTTTCGTACAGCACGCATCCAACACCTCGTCCAGCAAATGTTTAGCCTCATAACGCTCCAGCACAAAATCCACCAGTTTTAGGGTTCGCAAATTTGTCAACTTTGAGAGGAGATCTTTTAGGCCCTTCAGTAGCTGGCCACCAGTTCCGAACAGCTTTATGCCCTCCGGATCATTTGCCTGGGCCATGTTGCAGGGAAAAATATAGACCAAGGAACGTATACGTGCCCCCATGCCCTTCATATCCTTGGGCCCGTCAGGTTCCAAACCCCGGCTAATGCTCCACGTTAGCAGAGTCATAAATTGATAAATGTTATTGAATGAAATTTCCGGACGAAATTCCAGGCCCCGCAAATGGCGCCCAATGCGTGCTAGACAATTTTGCGTACGCATGTGATCGAGACAGTATTGCCAACCTGAGTAGTAATTGTATTTCTGCCGCGTCAGTGTGCAATCATCGACAAGGAAGTTATTCCAAACCGTGGGCAGATAGAAGGCCCGATGCCATTGTTTACAAACCTGGGAGTAAATTTAGGGACGAAATGTTATTTAATTTTGTTTTGAGGGATATGTCCACCAAACTTACCAAACTTGCATAGTACCGTTCCCTTGGCTTGAGATATGTAAAGACTTGTTCTAGAACTAAATCTGGCAAATTATTCCACTGTGAGTAGACCCGATTTTCATCATCAACATCTGATTTATTATCGTCATCGTTCACAATGTCTATGTAGCAGGCTGAGGAGTAAAATGGAAGAAATTTGTGAGGAGTTAATAAATGTTGATCTATTTTTAGAAGGGAGAGGTTTTCTGTCTAAGTGGAATTGTTTCCATTTTTTGGCCAGAAAATCCTTAAAATACTCCTGTTTGGGAGTTTTTTCTTTTTTGTGGAAAACAGATACATTTTGTTGGGTTAAAAAAAGGAGGTTATGAAATAATTAAAATACTCAACTAGTCGGAGGTTTCGTAGAAATTTTGTAAAACAAATAATATTTTTTTCACAAATTATTCTTAAGACACCATGGATTTTTATCAAGGGATCCTTCAATTTATATTTAAATCCCCGATTTTTTTAAATCCATTTTTATTTTTTAAAAATCCATGAATTTTTTTTTTAAAATTCACGATTTTTTTTAATCCACGATTTATTTAAATCCACGACTCTTTTTTTTTAAAATTCACGATTTTTTTTAATTCACGATTGTTTTTAAATCCACGATTTTCTTAAATCCACAATTTTTTTAAATCCACGACTCTATTTTTAAAAATTCACGACTTTTTAAAATCCACGATTTATATTAAATTCACGATTTTTTTTTAAATCCAAGATTTTTTCTAAATTCATGACTCTTTTTTTAAAATTCACAACGTTTTTAAATTCGCGATTTTTTTTTTTTAATCCACGATTTTTTTAAATCCACGATTTTTTTAAATCTACGATTTTTTTAAATCCACGATATTTTTAAATCCACGACTCTCTTTTAAACATTCACGATTTTTTAAATCCACGAATTTTTTAAATCCACGATTCTCTTTTTTAAAAATTCACGACTCTTTTTTAAAAACTCACGACTCTTTTTTTAAAAATTCACGATTTTTTTAAATCCACGATTATTTTAAATCCACGACTCTTTTTTAAAAATTCACGTTTTTTTTTTTAAATCCAAGATTTTTTCTAAATCCACAACTCTTTTTTAAAAATTCACAATGTTTTTAAATTCACGATTTTTTTTAAATTCACGATTTTTTTTTTTAAATCCACGATTTTTAAATCCACTATTCTGTTAAATCCACGACTCTTTTTTTTAAAAATTCACGATTTTTTTAAATCCACGATTATTTTAAATCCACGATTCTTTTTTAAAAATTCACGTTTTTTTTTTAAATCCAAGATTTTTTCTAAATCCACGACTCTTTTTTAAAAATTCACAATGTTTTTAAATCACGATTTTTTTTTTAAATCCACGATTTTTAAATCCACTATTTTATTAAATCCACGACTCTTTTTTTAAAAAATCACGATTTTTTTAAATCCACGATTTTTTTAAATCTTCGACTCTTTTTTTAAAAATCACGTTTTTTTAAATCCAAGATTTTTTCTGAATCCACGACTCTTTTTTTTAAATTTAAGATTTTTTTTTAAATCCACATTTTTTAAATCCATGCTTTTTTTAATCCACGATGTTTTTTAAAATCCACGAATTTTTTAACCTACGGTTCATTTTTAAATCCACGATTTTTATACCCTACACTACATAGCGGTAAGGGTATTATGTCTTTGTACGTTTGTTTGTAACATGGAGAAGGAAGAGAGATAGACCTATAGTTACTCTATTCGTCCGTCAGTCCATGTATTCATGTGAACAAAATGCAGGTTGCATTTATTATCCGATTGAAATGAAATTTTTCAAACAATATTTGTTTAGCCCAAGGTCAAACCTTTGGTGAGAATCGGTCCAAACTTGGATATAGCTCCCATATACATATATCTTTAATCGATTTCGGGTTAATTGTGCACCAAATGGCCAATATCAGTCCTGAATTTTGATAAATCCGACTAAATTTAGTCTAGAAACAAGAACATCGAATTCGGAGAAAATCGTTTCAGATATAGCTATAGCTGCCATATATAGGTTTGATCCGATTTGGTGTTTAAGCCCCACACATTCGTAATATGCACTCCACAAGAATGATGTTTAATTACCAGATACCAGAAACAGGCCAGAAATACCTCTGCCAAGTTTTTATCAAGATCGATTCAGATTTGGATATAGCTCCCATATATATCTTCAACCGATTTCGGGTTAATTGTGCACCAAATGGCCAATATCAGTCCTGAATTTTGATAAATCCGACTAAATTTAGTCTAGAAACAAGAATTTGGAATTTGGAGAAAATCGCTTCAGATATAGCTATAGCTCCCATATATAGGTTTGATCCGATTTGGTCCGATCACATTCGTAATATGTCCTGTACAAGAATGATATTTGGTACCAGATATCAGATACACCCCAGAAATACCTTTGCCAAATTTTATAAAGATCGGTTCAGATTTGGATATAACTCCCATATATATCTTTAAGCGATTTCGGGTTAATTGAGCACCAAATGGCCAATATCAGTCCAAATGATCTGAATTTTGGTACATCCGACCGGAATCAGTCTAGAAGCAAGTATAGCTCCCAAGGTCCGTTACGATAAATTCCGAATTTAACTAGAGCCACGAATTTAACAGAGAAAATAACATAGCTATGTTAACTTAACAGAGCTACATAAAAATTGTTTTTTCCTTAATATTTTTGATTTTTAATTACTTATCGTATAAAAACGCTTACAAAATGCATTATATAATCATAATTAAATTATATTCCAAAGATAGTAAGGCAACATACACCTATTAACTCGTAGCACAATACTATGTGCCAGGACAATTTTACACCAAACTGTGCCTTCCAGGACAATTCTGCCGGCACAATATGGGTATCTGCGGAAAGCTTATGAAGTCTACTATCCATTGGCATTAACAAAATTATAGGAAGGTCCGGCCAGTTCCGAGGTATATGGTCATTTCTGGAGGTATCCTTGGAACAGGATAACTCCATTGGCCAATATGCCTTCCAGGACAATTCTGCCGGCACAATATGGGTATCTACGGAAAGCTTATGAAGTCTACTATCCATTGGCATTAACAAAATTATAGGAAGGTCCGGCCAGTTCCGAGGTATATGGTCATTTCTGGAGGTATCCTTGGAACAGGATAACTCCATTGGCCAATATGTCTTCCAGGACAATTCTGCCGGCACAATATGGGTATCTACGGAAAGCTTATGAAGTATACTATCCATTGGCATTAACAAAATTATAGGAAGGTCCGGCCAGTTCCGAGGTATATGGTCATTTCTGGAGGTATCCTTGGAACAGGATAACTCCATTGGCCAATATGTCTTCCAGGACAATTCTGCCGGCACAATATGGGTATCTACGGAAAGCTTATGAAGTCTACTATCCATTGGCATTAACAAAATTATAGGAAGGTCCGGCCAGTTCCGAGGTATATGGTCATTTCTGGAGGTATCCTTGGAACAGGATAACTCCATTGGCCAATATGCCTTCCAGGACAATTCTGCCGGCACAATATGGGTATCTACGGAAAGCTTATGAAGTCTACTATCCATTGGCATTAACAAAATTATAGGAAGGTCCGGCCAGTTCCGAGGTATATGGTCATTTCTGGAGGTATCCTTGGAACAGGATAACTCCATTGGCCAATATGCCTTCCAGGACAATTCTGCCGGCACAATATGGGTATCTACGGAAAGCTTATGAAGTCTACTATCCATTGGCATTAACAAAATTATAGGAAGGTCCGGCCAGTTCCGAGGTATATGGTCATTTCTGGAGGTATCCTTGGAACAGGATAACTCCATTGGCCAATATGCCTTCCAGGACAATTCTGCCGGCACAATATGGGTATCTACGGAAAGCTTATGAAGTCTACTATCCATTGGCATTAACAAAATTATAGGAAGGTCCGGCCAGTTCCGAGGTATATGGTCATTTCTGGAGGTATCCTTGGAACAGGATAACTCCATTGGCCAATATGCCTTCCAGGACAATTCTGCCGGCACAATATGGGTATCTACGGAAAGCTTATGAAGTCTACTATCCATTGGCATTAACAAAATTATAGGAAGGTCCGGTCAGTTCCGAGGTATATGGTCATTTCTGGAGGTATCCTTGGAACAGGATAACTCCATTGGCCAATATGCCTTCCAGGACAATTCTGCCGGCACAATATGGGTATCTACGGAAAGCTTATGAAGTCTACTATCCATTGGCATTAACAAAATTATAGGAAGGTCCGGCCAGTTCCGAGGTATATGGTCATTTCTGGAGGTATCCTTGGAACAGGATAACTCCATTGGCCAATATGTCTTCCAGGACAATTCTGCCGGCACAATATGGGTATCTACGGAAAGCTTATGAAGTCTACTATCCATTGGCATTAACAAAATTATAGGAAGGTCCGGCCAGTTCCGAGGTATATGGTCATTTCTGGAGGTATCCTTGGAACAGGATAACTCCATTGGCCAATATGCCTTCCAGGACAATTCTGCCGGCACAATATGGGTATCTACGGAAAGCTTATGAAGTCTACTATCCATTGGCATTAACAAAATTATAGGAAGGTCCGGCCAGTTCCGAGGTATATGGTCATTTCTGGAGGTATCCTTGGAACAGGATAACTCCAGAAATGACCATATACCTCGGAACTGGCCGGACCTTCCTATAATTTTGTTAATGCCAATGGATAGTAGACTTCATAAGCTTTCCGTAGATACCCATATTGTGCCGGCAGAATTGTCCTGGAAGACATATTGGCCAATGGAGTTATCCTGTTCCAAGGATACCTCCAGAAATGACCATATACCTCGGAACTGGCCGGACCTTCCTATAATTTTGTTAATGCCAATGGATAGTAGACTTCATAAGCTTTCCGTAGATACCCATATTGTGCCGGCAGAATTGTCCTGGAAGGCATATTGGCCAATGGAGTTATCCTGTTCCAAGGATACCTCCAGAAATGACCATATACCTCGGAACTGACCGGACCTTCCTATAATTTTGTTAATGCCAATGGATAGTAGACTTCATAAGCTTTCCGTAGATACCCATATTGTGCCGGCAGAATTGTCCTGGAAGGCATATTGGCCAATGGAGTTATCCTGTTCCAAGGA